GCGGCTCACGCAGGAGGGGCAGCGCCCTGGTGAGGCAAGGAAGCGAGGCGCCCGATGCAACGGGGCCGTCAGATATGGTAGATCAGTCGGTCTGCTGTGGAGTCGGACCGTCTGGCTGTCTCAGGATGTTCCCCCCCCCTCCCACAGGGTGGGGGGGGACCCCATTTCGTGAAGTCTCTGTCCCTGCCGTGGGGTCGCCCTGGCGTGGCCACGACGGCTGGTCGTACGACGGAGAGAGAGACAGAGAGAGCGAGAGATAGAGAAGGGAGGAAGGAGGAAGGGGAGGCTTAGAGAGGAGGCGGGAGAGGAGGAAGGAGGAAGGGTGAGCAGAGAGAGGAGAGGGAGAAGGACGGAGGAAGGAGAGAGGAGGAGCTGACGGCGCCAGCGGGCGCTCCGAGGACGCCGCCGCGGCGACGCTGACTGCAACGCCAACGACGGCGACGTATTCGTCGTCTTGGAGGTCTTCGGGCGCTTTGAGACAGCGCGGCTCGAAAACTAGCTTGGAGGGATCCCCAGAGGGGTGCGGATACCGATATTGTCAAGACATTTCGAAGTCCGACGGCGAAAACAATTCAATATCTTCTTTCCTTTCGATTCACGCGGTGGACGTCTCGGCGTCATGCATTCGGCAATACGCAGCAGCAGGAAGAGGAGGAGGAGGAGGAGGAGCCAGCGTCCCGGAGGAGGAACAGGATGAGGAATAGGATGACAAGAATGCCGAGGAGGAGAAGGAGGAGGGAGAGAGGAGAAATCTGGGCCAACCCCCCTCTGCTGCTCCTCCTCCTCCTCCTCCTCCTCCTCCTCCTCCTCCTCCTCCTCCTCCTCCCCCTCCCTCGCGGAGCTGGGATGAGGAGGGCTCGAAGGTGACGGGCCCGCCGATGCCTCGAGCAACTCCGCCAGTGCCACCGCCTCGCCCAGCAGGGATGCCACGTTCTCGCGCAGCGCAACGCCGCCCAGGAGGGCCCCCGCGGCAGTGGGGCTGGCGGCGGCAGAGGCGGCGCCAGCGGCCAGCCTCGCGCCCCTGTGCGTCTGGCGGATCGTTTCTGTTTCTGCCCTGGCGTTTTTCCCCTTCGGCGTTGCGACTTTGTCACATTGGGCGTTCTCGCCCAATTTCGGGCCCCAGGGCCATCAGAGATCGATCCGGCTCGACAAATGCCGCAGAAAGCTGAGGTCTGTAGGGTTCCTGTCGCAATGTTTCGCGATGTTGTAATTCTTCGCAACGTCGGATCTCGGCGTCGTGTCTCGGGATCCAGGGGCCGTTTTCTGGGCCCCTGCGCCCAAGGCCAAGGATGGAGAGCCCCAGGAAACAGGTCGAGACCCTGGGAGCCAACGGTTGACACAAAAACAATCCGCTGGATGTCTGCGTCTCGGCGGTGGAGGCTGCGGAGGCGGAGGAGGTTGAGGAGGCGGCGGAGACAACAGTACTAACTACTGGCGACTCGAAAGTGTCCCTGGGGGGTTCCGCCATTTCCGGCGCCTGCGTGGAGGAGACCGAGACCTCCGATGTTGTGATACATGGGGCCCCTGGGATTCTCGAGCTCTTCCGCGCTGGTTTTCCGTCGGGGATCTTTTCTTTGACGGCCCCTGGGCCCGAAGACGGCCCCCGGGTGCCCATAATGCAGACAGACCTACGTCTTGAGTGTTCCAAGACCTTCGAGGCACGCGGAGGGCGGCGCGACGTGGACCGAGACCGCATGGGGTGCGGCAGGCGCTGTGGCGGGGGCCTGCTGCCGGCAAGGGCGCCGAGAGACGCACGAGGAGCCCATGGGCGCCTGGCGCGCACATCCGCGACGTCCACTGCGAGCCGGCGCGCCTCCCCCGCCAGGAAAGCGGCGAGCTCCTGGCTGGCATAATTTTCCCGCCTGCGAGCTGCTCGCCCGCTAGTCGGGCTCTTCCAGTGAAGAAGCCAGCCGGCAAGGGGTAGGCTTCGACTCGTGCGGCGTCGGCCGACGAAAGCCGTGGAGTCGCCCGGATAGTTGCAGCGTGTCCCGAAGCGGTCTCCTAACACGTCCACGCCTACCCTTTGGCGCCTGCTACGGCAAGGGTCGCACCATCGCTTCGGCACATGTGTGCGCGACCATGCGCCCACGCGTGCTCACGTGCGTGCACGGCCATACACGCTCGTGCACGCTCCTGCGCGCCCGTGGGCTTTCAAGGACTCCCACCAGCCTTTGTGGCAAAGGTGGCAAGGTGGTCTAACGAGTTCTGTATTTCCTCTTCCGAAGCCCTCTTCCCTTCGGGGAGGGGTCTCCTCCTCCTTCATTCCCTCGGTTTTTGTAGGCGGGCCGCGAGGTGGTAGAGGGTCCCTTTTCGCCCAAGATGGCCCCACGAGGGTCTCCGATTCTCCAAGAGGACCTCCAAGGCGGCTCAAGATGGCCGAAGATGGTTATGGATAGCTTCCGACATACCTCCAAGAGTCTTCTCCAAGAGGCCGCCCGACGTGGGCCACAAGATAGTTCCAAGTTCTCTCGGAGCCCCCTCAGGACCCTCCCAAGAGGCCAACATCATTCAAGCCCCCAAACCAATCAATGATGTTTAACATCTCGCCACCTTTTCGTTTCCGATGCGTTTTTGAAGCCTCAAGATTGTCCCAAGATGGCCCAAGAGAGCCCCAACAGAGGCCAGAGAGAACCCCTAAACGGCTCCAAGAGCGCCCAAGACCGTCCCAAGCGGGCCCCAAGAGTTATGATGTTCCAGCCCTCTTTAGCCTTGGCCACCCGAAGGAAACTTGAGCACCACGAAATACCGAAACTGTAAGGTTTTTGCGTGTCGGGCCCTGGGAAGCGATACTCGTTCGACACTGTTTCGATACTTTTCTGGGCGCTCGAAATTATTTCTGGGATGTGGTCCTCGAGTACGATGGGAGCAATATAACCCAAGAGGCGATTTTGATGGCCCCACGCGGGCGACCAAGCACGAGGACCCCGTCCCTTTTCTGATCGATGGCCTCCGCGATGGCCCCACGAGACCCTCCTCGACCCGCAAAGGCCCCTCAAGAGGGCTCCAAGAGGGCCCCAAGACCCCCCAAAAGAGCCCTAAGAGGACTCCAACCTCACCCAAAAGAGCTCCAAGAGGGCTCCAAGATGCGATTTTGAAGGCTCTGTCCTCGTCCTCGTTTTCCTCCTTCTCCTCGTCCTCGTCCTCGTCCTTGCCCTCATCGTATTCCTTCTCCTTTTCCTCCTCTTCCTCGTCGTCGTGGTCGTCGTCGTCGTCTTATTCCTCCTCCTCCTCCTCCTCCTCCTCCTCCTCCTCTTCCTCCGCCTCCTCCTCCTCCTTCTCCTCCTCCCCTCGCCCCCCCGCGGGCCCCAGGGATGACCCGAGGGGGGCCCTCCAAAGCCACCCTTTGCTCCCAGAAATCTCTTTGTTCATCCTGTCTGCCCGCTCAGCTTCACTGTATGTGTCTCTTCGTCCCATTCCCCGTCAACTCTTAGATGCAACGTTTTCGAACGGGCTAGTGGGGATATTTGTTGTTCGCGAACGCACCTGGACGCCGGGCGCCGTCAAGAAACGCGGCTGAGAAACAACGACCTGAATGCCGCGGCAGGAAAGGGAAGGAAACCTGGTGGGGATTTCTGTTGTCGCAACCGCAGGCGAAGGCGCCAGCGGCGAGTCGAGTCGGCTCGGGTTGCGAGCGGAACTAATTGCCGGCGCGCGCGGAGCTAAGCAGGACCTACCGCCTGGTGGGGATACTTTTTCGGTCGCGTCCGCAAGCGAAGGCGCAAGCGGAGTCAGGAGCGCTACGGGTCACGACAGCGGCCTAATTAGCAGCTAGACGCGCCGCAAGCCGGCCGGCCCACTCATACAGCAGCGGCTGACTGCGCGGGAGGAGCTGCAGGCTGGGGGCGTCCAGGGTGCTCGAGCACTTGCAACATGGCACCTGGTGGGGATATTTTTTGATCTGCGGCTCAAAGGACGATTCCAGAGAGCGGGTCAATCTCGACAGGGGCGCAATGCGAGATGAGATAACCTGGTGGGGATACGCGAAGCGTGACGAATTTCCGTTGTCCAAGTCTGGGATGACAAATGACTCGTGAGCTTCCCTAACAGATTTGCGGCGAAGCCAGAAGAGTGATGCCTCGTAGACAGAGCTCCAGGGCCACTCCTGGCAAGGGGCGCAGGGCAGAGCTACACCCGCCTGGAAACCTCATGCAACTTTTGCGGGTGGTGTCGGAGAATCGTCGGGGGGCTTCTCTGAGAGTAGTCATCCTGGGTCCGTTTCTGACGGTCCTGGGGCCCGAAAACAGCCACCTGCAGGCCATCCACGGAAAGCCGAAGGCGACGAAAGCAAACGAAGTGACGACTAAATGGTGTTACCTTCCAAGGCAATGTAATTGGACGATCCGCCGAGAAGAGATGTACGTAGTGGAAATTCGAAGGTCCTCCATCCAGGAGCTCCACAAAGACATCCGGGCACATGGCGTAAGTATAGCTGGCCGATCCGCTGGAAACGACCTTTGCATAAACTTTGCGGAAGCGAGCTGTGACACGTTGATAATCGGACTTCCAATGTCTTTGTTCAGCCGTTCCTGGTGTTACAACAGGCGGTACACCATCGCTCCACACGGTTCACCGGACAGCACACCACGTGGCCTCCGAGCAACCCCACGCCAAGAGGCGAGCGTATGTACGGGCGCAGAACCTGGCTGGATGCGTGGCCCTCGAAACGGGGCGGAAGCTCCAGAGGCAGGCGGAAATCAGATAGTCCTCCATTTCCTTCTTCTCTGCCTCCTCCTCCTCCTCCTCTTCCGTCCCTCTCTCACTCAAACCAGAACGTGCTGCAGGGTCACGTAGAAAGTATCAGTGCCCCCGTATGCGAACATGACGGGATAAGCGTCGGGTGCCCACGGCGGCTGCGACAATTGAAGCAAAGGCGGCAGAGAGAGCGCGGATGACGAGGGAGAGGTTGGAGGGTAGGGCGTTTGGGAGGTCTCTGGGGCCGGAGGGGTCTGGCAGGACTAAAACTGTCCGAACCTGGAAATTTGCTCAAGTCCCTGTCTCCTCGTCCTCTGAGCTGCAGCGCCCAAGACGAAACAGGGCGCGCAGTTGCAATATGGAGCCCTGGTGACTCTGCTAGCACCCAGCTACCTGCAAACTTACCATGTTCGACATGTAAACTCTGCACAACGTTCGATCGGATTGCAGATTAACCTTTGCCATTTCGTCCACGCCCTTGGTCGTGCGAGGACTGATTGGGGGGCGTTTCCAGACGGAAGCGAATGATAGCGCATCAAGAGGGAAGACAACAGGAACAATGAGAAGGGCGCGATGTTCGTATGGCTCGATGAAAGGGTGCTTTGCTGTGACCATGACGCCCAAAGACGCTGGACCGAGGTCTGCCCAAATTAACAACGAACACTCATGCAGATAATCGTGCATGCATCGCCGTACCATCTGATGGCAGGCAGGAGGCGCACAGTGTTCGTTATCCACGCATTACTGCGAAGGCAAGAGATGCAGATATATAGGACATCTCCAAACAGGTAGGAAGTGGCCTCACAAAGGCTCAGTGATGGCGACATGAACATGCAAGTCGATCCGTAGTCGCAGTAAGTGTTACGCGCAGGCGCAGACTGGAATGATTTTACATTCCAGCAAAAACAAGTCGGACGTCTCCGCTCATTGCCAGCCGCATCTTTGGACCATGCAAGGATCAGACTGTCCAGAGACGCGCGCGCAGCCCATGCCACGGACGAGGGGCCTTACAATAACGAGGTGTGTGTGTGTGTGTGTGAATGTGTGTGGGGCACTTGTTTGAACCAACAAAACAGAATACAATGTTAAGCACGTAAGACGAAAAACAAATCGAATATCGATGTGAGTATACGTGTTGCATGTGTCTCGCTCTTTCCAAATTTTTGGAGGCCTTCAGATTCCCCTGGGGACCTCAAGGAGCGCGTTTATTTATGTTCGGCGATGACGGGCGTCATGGGGGGGGGGGGGGCGAGGGGGGGGATATGACGTAACGCACCTCCCCGCCGTGAGGCTCCGGCACCACAACCGCGCCCGCGCGCACGACGCGACGAGCGACGAGCGACGACGACAACGAAGACGACGACGCGAGTAGCATGCAAGTGGCAATCTTCTCGCGTGCACCACAACGCGCGTGTACACCACAGCGCCTGCGTACACCGTAACAACCGAGTGCAACGCAACGCCTGTGTACACCACAGTGCTTGCGTACACTACAGCGCCAGTGTACATGTGTAAACCGCAGCAACCATTTGCAACACAGCGCCTGTGTACATCACAACGCTTGCGAGCACCGCAACGCCTGTGCACGCCAGTGCCTGTCTACACCACAACATCCGCGTGCAACGCAGCGCTGGTGTACACCACAGTGCCTGCGTGCATGGGACAGGTGGAAGGAACATGTATGCGAGGATCTGCTGCGGACAACGCCACGCCAGGAAAGTGCTGACAATTGAATGCGACGTTCTGCCCTCCTCCCTCCTCCACCCCCTCCACCTCCACCTCTTCCTCCTCCTCCTCCTCTTCCTCCCCCTCCTCCTCTTCCTCCTCCTCCTCCTCCTCCTCCTCCTCTTCGTCGTCCTCATTACCCCTGTCGTGCGGGTTGGCGCTACAGCGCGCGTGCGCATCTCAGCGTGCACCGCAGACTGGTCGATTGAATCGGTCCACTTGGTTCTCGGACGGCCAATTCAGCTGGAGCTTCCTGGACGCAGATGGGAGGAGTTAGGGTGGCGCGGGCGGAGTCGGGATGACTCTTGGATTCTAAAAGCGCTCATTTGTCAATAAGGGATCGTTTCTATTGTTTTCAATGGAATCCACAAGCGCTCCATTTTGTAATTGGAATTCCTTCTGATATTCCATCTACAACAATGGTGTTGTGTTGCACACGGCTGCTGTGGTGCACGCGAGCGCCGCGGTGTACACGGGCACTGGAATGCACGCAGGCATTGTGGTGTACACTGGTGCTGTGTTGCACACGGCTGATGTGGTGTACGCAGGCGTTGTGGTGTCCACAAGAGCTGTTGTGCTCGCAGGCACGGTGGCACAAACGGACGCTGTGTTGCACGCGGCTGCTGTGGTGTACATAGGCGGTGTTGTGTACACAAGCGCTGTGGTGCACGCAAGCAGTGCGGTGTACACACGTTTTGTGGTGCAGATCGACGCCGCCGGCACGAAACGTGACGTCATCGACCCCTCCCCCCCCCAGATGATTGCCGTCATCGGCCCGGAATAAGAAATTGGCTCCAGCCGCGTCCGCGCGCACGACGACGATGAGCGACGAGCGACGAGCCACGAGCGACGACGACGACGACGACGACGACGACGACGACGACTGCGGACCAGACTCCTATGCGGATTCCTACGCGGACACCTGCGCGGATCCCAATGCGCACGGCGGCAGTGCCCGGAGAGCACTGGGGGGGGGAGCGTTACGTCATAGGGCGGGGGGGAGCGGGGGCCATGACGCCCGTCATGCCCAAGCAATAAAGAAACGGGCTCAAGAGACCTGCAGAGGCCTCCGGGGCCCTCTGGATCAACCTTTCCGAGCCAACGTACCCGTGCTCATCATGGCACCCCTCCGTATATGGTCACATTCAGAAACCTTTCAAAGGTTTTGCTGGGAGGTCTATATCTTTTTCGTGGCATTTGCTGTAGGTCTGGGTCCAACCTCACAACCGTCACTGGAATGGTTGCCATCGCGCCGCCCCGTGGCAGGCAGAAAAAAAGCCTCACAGTGCCTTCAGCGCCGCACCGACCGCGGATCCAATGGTCTCGATGTCCTCGGCTCCCCCTCCCCAATCCCCTCCTCTTGACCTTCTCCCTCCGCACCTGGATGAAGACGGGGCGGGGAGGCGACGGAGAGAAGGTGCACGAGGATAGGGAAGAGGAGGAGGCAGAGGAGGAGACCGAAGAGTATGGCTTGATGGGAACTGCTCCCTGGCACCGCAAGGTAGCCATCATAAGAGAGGAGGGCGACGACGAGCGGGAGGAGGAGGTAGGAGGCGGAGCAGCAGGAGCCGGAGGAGCAGGACGGCGACGAAGGCCCACGACGATGATAACAAGGTCGACTGCAATCGCGACAACGACGACGACGATCGCACTGACGACATCCTGGCTGGCTAGCCGCGTAGACGAGACGACGACCGCAGCGACGCCAACGATCAATGGCGACTACGTTGCCGATCGCAACGACGACAACGTCGTCGCTGGTCAATCGATTTGGCGACCAAGTCCTTGCCGATTAGCCGCGTGGACGAAACAACGATCACAAGGATCATATCGGCGACGATCGCGTCGACGACGAAGATCACGATGACAACGACGACAACGACCAAGACGCCGATCGCGACGACGACGAGCACTTCATACTCGCCAGTCAGCCGCGTGGACGCGACGACGATTACGACGACGGCAACGACAACGAAGAGAGCGATGAAGACAACAACAACGTCGAAGACGACGCCGACCACGAAGATGATGGCAACATCCTCGCCGATGACGACAACGACGACGATCACGAAGACGAGGACAACGTTCTCACTGGTCAGCCTTAGACGCGACGACGATCAAACGACGACGACGAGGACGACGACGACGGCGACGACTATGACGATTCCGGAGAAAAAAACGTCCTCGCTGGTTAGCCGCGTGGACGCGACGACGATCACGGCGACGAAAACGACGGCGACATGGACTGCCTACAATGATCATCACGGCGACGACGACTCAGAAGACGAGCACGACGTTCTCGTCAATTTGCCGCGTGGACGCAGGGACGACGATCACGGCGACGACCGCGCCGACGGCGCCAATCGCAAAGACGACGCCGTCGCCGGTTCTTTCCCTCGGACAGTTTTCCGTCCAGGAGCAATCTTCCAGTCTCGGGACGCCCCCGAGTGGCAAAAGTCAAGGAGAACGCTGGGATTTTAGCGAACACAAGCGTCCGCAAGTCTGGGGCAAGATAAGCCCCAAGTCGGTTCCACGGACCTCTCCCAGGGTTTCCATCCAATCCCATTTTACGAGCTGCGCCGAGCTGTGGCCACGCGGGCGCCCTCCAGAGGCCAAACAGGGAGGAGCAAGGCGACGTTGCGTGACTCTTTCAAGATGCTGAGTCTGACGTCGTCCTACCTCTCTCGGAATGCGTTCCGTCCAGAACTTCGATGGGCATCCAGCAATGGCGACGAGAAGCCTCCTGGAGGCTCAACAAAGACGAGAAACAATAACAGACCTCGATCCGCAAACCTCCAGAACCTCCAAAAACGTCTGCGACATCGTGCCGTGATGACATCCACGCCAGTCAACCGCGTGGACAAGACAACCGCGCCGACGACGACGACGATCATGAAGATGATGACGAAGACGACGCCCACGACGACAACGACTTCCACGAGGACATCGACGACGACGACGACGCTGACGCCGATCGCGACGGCGACCACGACGACGCTGACGCCGATCGCGGCGGCGACGACGTCCTCGCAAATAATATGCGTTGACGCGGCCACGAGAACCGTTGGCTGCGAGAAGCGTCCCAGATGCCCCAAGTCGCTCCGAAAGCGGGGATCTCCTCGATAAGCGAGAACCTCGATATTCGATCCCCGAAACTCGACGGCGGAGATGCCGACGACGACGACGACAACGACAACGACGACGACGATTGCGACGGCGATGACGACGACGACGACAAGGACGACGATAAGGACGACGACGACGACGACGCTCGCCGCTCTCGCCGGCGGCGACGACAGCGCCTTCGCCAACGGCGCTCTTACCGACGGCGACGGCGGCGAAGAAGACGACGCCCTCGCCGAATTCTGCGCCTCAGGCCGCCGCGCACGCGGCGTCCGACGACGACGGCGGCCGACGACGACGGCGACGACGTCCTCGCGGGTCATCTGCGTGGACGCGCAGAAGCGGAGGCTGGCCGCGGCTGGCGGCGGCGCGCCCACGCGGGCGCCGAAGGCGCCTTCGGCATGCACGCGGCCTGGGGCGCAGACCTCGGCGGAGGCGTCATCGTCGTCGTCGCCGTCTCCGTTGTTGTTCGCCGTCTTTCGAGGGTCCAAGAGCTTAGACCTCCAAAGTCAGGAGCACCATCCAAACAGAAAGCGTTATCAGACTCCGGAGCCATCGGAAACCGAGCTGGCATGAAACACTGGTCCGCATTGAAACAACAAGACGTCGGAGGTACGGAATTGGAGATTCAGAGGCTGTTCGGCCTCCGGAGGCCAAGCGTCCATGATCTCAGAAGACGTCCAGGGACTGCCAACGGAGGTCGTCGTCGCCGCCGTCGGCGTCGATCGAGGACCGAGGGTCAAGGATCAGATCGTCCTGGCTTGTTGTCGTCGCTGCGGCGGCGGGCCCGAGAGGTCCAAGGCAGTCGGAAGGGTTCTGGCGGCCGCGGCTTTCGAGCCGCGCCTCTTGACCCAGAACCCTGCATGGGGGACTCCTTCCATCTTGCCCCAGACGCCTGAGATGGTGAAGACCTCCCGCGTGATTAGATTTCCAAGTCGCCAGCCTAGCGACTCTGACTTGATCGTGCAGAACCGATGTGCTGGGCGCGGTCGTCGCGGCCCTTCCTGGGGTTACCCATTCTTCTTTCCTTACATGGTCCTTGAGTTCCACGGAGTTGTTCCTTGCCCTCCTTCCTTGGGTTCCATGGTCTTGTTCCACGTGTTCCCTGGTCTTGTTCCCTGCTTGGGTTCCTCGGGTTCCCCAGTCTTGTTCCTGGGCTCCTAAGGTTTCCCAATATTGTTCCTAGATGTCCCTGATCTTGTTCCTTGCGTGGGCCCCCCCGGGTTCCCTGGTTTCTTCCATGCTTGTTTTCCTCTGGTTCCCTGGTCTCGTTCCTCGGGTTCACCGGCATGGCAAACCAATGCCAAGCAATGATGCCAAGCCAAGTAAAGCAATGCCAGTCTATGCAACGCAATGCCGCGCAAGGCCAACCAGTGCAAATGTGCCAATTAATGCCAGGAGTACCAGGCACTGCCAAACAACTCCAGCCAATGTCAAGTAACGCAAAGCAATGCCAAACAATGCGCCCTTGCGGTAGGAATACGTGCCATCATTGGAGTCGCACCTGGCTAACGCCCAACCATCATCTGGTGGTGGGTCCTCGTTTTGAAGAGACAACGCCCCGCGTTCCTCACATCCTCATCTTCCTCCTCCTCCGCCTCTTCCTCCTCCTCCTCTTCCTCCTCCTCCTCCCCCTCTTCCTCCCTCCTCCCTCCATCATCATCGCCATCATCGCCATCGTCATTCATCATCACCATCATCATCACCATTATCATAACCACCACCATCACCATAACCATCATCATCCCCATCCCCATCCCCATTCCCTTCACCATCACCACCACCACCACCACCATCATCATCATCATCATCATCATCATCATCATCATCATCATCATCATCATCATCATCATCATCATCATCATCGCCATCATTCATATTATCATTATCATTATCATCAATATGTTCCATCATCACCATCGTCATCATCCTCATCAACATCCTCATCCTCATCCTCATCCTCGTCATCACCGTCACCATCGTCATCATCATCAGCATGATCACCATCCTCATCATCATCATTATTATTACCATCAGCAGTATCACCATCAGCATCGTCATCATCACCATCCTCATCATCACCATCGTCACCATCAACATCATCAACATTATCACCACCACCATCAGCATCATCCGGATCATCCGGATCATCCAGATCAGTACCATCATCATCATCATCATCATCACCATCATCATCCACATCATCATCGTCAACATCATCATCATCACCATCATCATCATCATCATCATCAACATCATCATCAGCATCACCAGCTGACCTGGAACGCAGCGCCCGCATGCGCCTAGCGCAACATGTTCGTCACACCCCTCACACGCTTGGTGGCCCCATAGGGAGCTCCGCAGAAGGCCCAACAAGAAGTGCCCGCATGCGCCCGCCGCACCTCTGTCGGCACACCCCTCACACGTTTCGTCGCCCCATAGGTAGCTCCACCGACGGCCCAAACGGCAGCGCCCGCGTGCGCCCGCCGCACCCATGTCGGCGCACCCCTGACACGTTTGGTGGCCACATAGTGAGCTCCGCCGAAAGTCCAACAAGAAGCGCCCGCATGCGCCAACAGATGCCGGCACATTACTCACACGATTCGTGGCCCCATACGGAGTTCCACCGAAAGCCCCAAAGGCAGCGCCCGCATGCGCCCGGCGCACCCATGTCGGCACACCCTTCACACGTTTCGGTGCCCCATACGGAAATCCACCGAAGGCCCAAACGGCAAATGCGTCCGCCACATCTATTTAGATACGCCCCTCAGACTATTCGTCGCCCCGAAGGGAGCTCCACCGAAGGTCCAAAAGGCAGTGCTCGCATGAGCCCGCCGCATCAATTTCGGTACACCCCTCACATGCTTCGTGACCCCATACGGAGCTCCACCCCAGTGGCTACGCCCAAACGCGCCCGCCGCAATCATGCCCGCACACTTCTCACACGCTTCGTGGCCCCACAGGTCCGTGCCACCCATTTCGGCACACCCCTCACACGCTTCGTGGCCCCATTATGAACTCCACCGAAAACGATATTCGCAACCGCGGTACTCACAACTGCATGCCTATACGACCACCCTGCGGGTGATAAGGAGGTTGAGGGGGGGGAGGGGCCCAGCAATGGGCAACAGTGGTGATCGTTGTCACTCGATCAATATCACAATCGATATCACTATTGATCCCACTATCGATCTCACTATCGATCTCACAATCGATATCACTATCGATCTCACTATCGATCTGACAATCGATCTCATTATCGATCTCACTATCGATCTCACGATTGATCTCACTATCGATCTCACGACGGGACACCGACGGGATACCGCAGGACACCGACGGGACACCGACGGGACACCGGCGGGACAACGGCGGGACAACGCGCGGCCCCGAACGCTGGAACGCCAAACATTTGGTCCGGCCGCGCCTCAGCCAGAAAAGACTTTCCTCTCGCACGCCCACGCAGCTTCGCCTCGCCCGCACGCACGGCACGCACGAACACGAAACCGAAATCGATTTCCCAGTAGGGGGGCTCTCCGTTTCACTTCGATCTCACCCCCCAACCTCCGCATGGTTGGGCCTATCGCCAGGCAATGTGTCCCCATATTGGTGAATTGCTGGTGCCCCGTATTCTTCTTACGTTGCCCGTTGCCCAAGAGGTTCCTCGGGGTCCTCGACTGGAGGTTCCTCGGGTTCCCATGCAAAGGAGTGCCAAGCAAAGCCAACCCATGCAAAATAATGCTAAGCAATGCCAAGCAATGCCAAACCATGCAAATCAACGCCAAGCAATGCCAAGCAATGCCAAGCGATGCGCCCAACGATGCGCCCATGAAACAAGCTTTCCCCTATGTAATTGGGGTCGCGCCGGGTTCATTCTATACATGTTTGTGATAAATGTTGGCGCCTTGACCATTTCGGGCTTCCTTCAGCCATGGGCGGCTCTAGAGGCCTCCAAAATGGCTCCCAAACTGCTCAGGAGCACCCTCCCAAAACTGCTCAAGGCAGCCCGAAAAGGCACAAAGATGGCCCAGGAAGGCCCCAAGAGAGCCTCAACCTGGGCCTCCTGGGTGACCTAAGACGGCCTTAGAGGGCCAACCGACGGGCCCCCAAACAATCCAAGAGAGATGAAAATGGCCCCAAGAGGGCTCAATATGGACTCAAGGGACCCCCAGCATTGCACCACAGGAACCCACGACAGCCCCAGCTGCTCGACTCACACGGTCCAGCCTCCTGTCGCCCCTCGAACAGCCGCCTGCGAGAATACTGGGCTGGCACGGGCGGGGCTTACCGCTCGCAGCTGAATAACAATATGTTAGCCAGCAGCCTGGACCCCAAGCAGCACACGTTGTGCAATCTACGTTGTGCAATAGTTGTTGTGCAATCTCTGTGGTGCAATGTATGTTGTGGAATATATGTGATGTCATCTATGTATGTTATGCACTACGTGTAGGACAAACTATGTTGTGCAATTACCTGCCCTGCTCCGCCAACGAACACTTCCCATGACCGCGCTGCTGTGCAATGTCCGTGGTGCAAGGTGTGTGGCATATATGTATATGTATGTACGTATGGTGCAATCTGCGTGGTGCAATCCAAGTTGTGCAATATATGTTGTCCGACGTATGTGATGCAAGCTGTGTTGTGCAACCGCTGCTGGGCACTATGTGTGGCGCGTTTGTATGTGAAGCACTGTGAGCACTCTATGTTGTGCAATGTTGGTGGCGCAATCTACGAGATGCACCCTATGTCCTGTACCCAAAACGATGCAACATATGTGGTGCAAGATACGTTGTGAAATAAATGCGGTGCAACGTAGGAAAGGCAATATCTGCGAGGCAATGGTTATACATAAATATTTCCACCGACAAGTGTATACACGTTTATATTTACAGTGTACACGAATGTACATACATATATATAGTGCGCAATCGATATGGTGCAGCACATTTGGTGCAACCTAATCCCATCAGCCCTTTGGGCGACAGGTGGTCAAAGGAGGGTCTTTTTCCTCTACCACAACCCCCCATCCCTTCGTGGAGGGACCCCCCCCTCCCCTCCCTGAGTTTGGCGGGGAGGGGCTCGCGACGAGTTAGAGCGTCCTTTTTTCGGCCCCTGGGAGGGCAAATTTTTGACACCACTCAAAGATGGCCCCAAGAGGCCCTCCAGGGCTCCCAAGAGGCTCCAAAGAGGACCCAGAGAGCGCCCCAAGAAGCCCCAATAGGCCTCCAAGAGGCACCCGGGAAGCCCACAAGAGGCCCCCGAGCGGCTCCAGAGAGCCCAAGATGACCTCCAAGATGGCTCAGGTAGCCCAAGCTGGCCCAAGATGGCTCCCACTATGCTCCAAACGGCCCCAAACCCGCTCCAAGACGGCTCGAGATGGTCACCGAGCCTCCCAAGCCTCCCTCGCTGTTTGACAATGCGTGCCTCTTCCTCCTCCCCCCGTCAGCTCTCATGGGCATCGTTTCTGGACGGACTGGTGGGGATTGTTTTTCAAGGCCGCAAGCGAAGACGCCTGCAGCGGGTCGAGTCGGCTCGGGCTACGAGCGAACCAAATTGCTGGCGCGCGCGCACAGGAAAGCAAGCCTACCGCCAGGGGAAGCCGCTGCGACTGGTGGGGATACTTTTTCGGTCGCGACCGCGAGCGGGCACCCGCGCGGCGTCGGAAAGGTCGAGCTACGAGCAGAGGCCGGCGGTCACAGCGCAACTGTCGCCGGCCAGACGCGGGGAAAAAGGGGCCACTACACAACGCAGCGGCTGCGCAAGAGCGGCAAAATCAAAACTGGTGGGGATACGCGAAGCGTCAAGACTTGTGCAAGCTTTGTGGTGTAAAACGACGAGGCGGCGACGGGGCGGCGACGGCGGCAACAAGGCGGCAAGCCCGACAAACGAGCCCAATCGACGGGCGGCGACGAAGCGGCGACGGCGGCAACACGGCGGCGAACCCGAAAAAAGAGCCCAGCCTTTGAAGAAAACAAGGAAGAACCCCTAAATGCAAACACTGCGTGGGCAAAATAACCAAAACGCCGCCATCGCACTGGATTGCGACCCTGGAGGGGTGGTTGGATAGGGCCTCGGTCCCCAATGTTCGCAGGTGACCTGAGTGTCACTAGAGAAACAAGACGAAAACCCTTTTCTCCCAAGTTGGGCCAGACCTCACCTTTGGGAGAGGCAAGTCAAACGCACCCCAAACAACAGACCTCATCCGCACCAGAAGTGCTCCTGTTTCTACGCGCCGGCAGTGAGCCAAATAATATGTTAAAATTCTTGCCACCCTCAGATAACAAACGTCGTGATCGCGACCGCCGCGTTCTGAACAGGTCACGGCCAGAACCATCGAGTCCATCCTTCCTTCTCACGCGGCACTGATCGAACTGGACCGATCCGTGAATGATCGGAGGGGCTCGCCCTGATCTTTGTGCACGCCGCCTGGACGTCAGAGCCCCCCCCCTCCTTCCGGGCAGAAATTCGCTCAGACCTCTTCCCAGGCCCCCCCAGTGCACCACCTTAATCACGTCTCCGAACCGCGCCCAGCTGCCACCACGAGACGCACCAGACGCCATCCAGAAGCATTCCGCCATCCCCCTTCCAGAGCGCCAGCCAAGTCAAGAGAGTGTGTCCGGCGGAGTGTGTGTGTGTGTGTGTGTGTGTGTGTGTGTGTGTGTGTGTGTGTGTGTGTGTGTGTGTGTGTGTGTGTGTGTGTGTGTGTGTGTGTGTGTGTGTGTGTGTGTGTGTGTGTGTGTGTGTGTGTGTGTGTGTGTGTGTGTGTGTGTGTGTGTGTGTGTGTGTGTGTGTGTGTGTGTGTGTGTGTGTGTGTGTGTGTGTGTGTGTGTGTGTGTGGGTGTGTGTGTGTGTGTGTGTGTGTGTGCGTGCGACTCGCCCCCCCCCCCCCCCGCGCCCCCCGGCCCACCATCCTGGCGGCCCGCCGCTCCCGCAATCCCCACTTGCTGGGCACCGCCCTGCACTGCAGCCGCCGGCTCCTCCCCTGGGTGCGCCCGCAATGGCCGCCTCGCGGTCGCTTGGCCGCCCCGCGCGCCCCCACGCGTCCTCGCCGCGTGAGCGCGCCCTCCTCTCTCGCCTTCTGTCTCTGCGGCCGCCCCTCGGCTTCTCCCCTCCTCTTGCATGCGGGCCAAGTCGCTTCTCCGTGCCCCCCATTGCGTCACCCATATGCAGGTCGCCCGCGACATCTTCACGCACCCTCGTTTTCTGGGATCCCACGCCTGCCTCCGCACGTGCACAGCTGCGAATTCCTTTTCTGCATCCTTCACCCGCTCGTCGATTGCCTCCCTAATTATCGGCACACTTACGATGGTAATCACCCTTGGCACGTCCCGCTTTTGCCCTCGCTGCGTTGGACCGACCGGCCGCGAAGCCAAACAAGTGTGAGTGTGAGTGTGTGTGTGTGTGTGTGTGCGCATGTATACTGGGATTGTGCTTTTCCCTGCACGCGCTCGGCCTAGCTCAGCCACCCACTCGCTGCGTGGAGTTCAACCTGATTTGCATTCGCATCTAGCTCTCGCTGTGGCGACGTCGCTTGATCACTGCAAGAAATGGGGTCGCTTTTCGCGGGGCCGCGGAATGACCGGGACACCGCGACCGTTCTCCCACGTCTGACGACGACGAGGACGACGAAGACGACCAGGACGACGAGGACGAGGACAAGGATGACGACGACGACGACGACGACGAGGACGACGAGGACGAGGACGACGACGACGACGACGAGTGCAGGTCTCGTCGGTCCCGCTCGGGCGCAGGCCTGCGCACGCACGCCTGCAGCCGCGCAGGCGGCCGCGATGCCGAGCAGCCGCTCCTCGCCGAGGCCGGCCGCGCCAGTCCAGCGGAGGTGCTGGACGTAGGACTCCCTGCTGCTGATGAGCTCCACGGCGGCGCCGCTCGCAGCCATGGCCGCGCGGAGGGCCTCGCGCGGCGCGGCGGCGCTGACGGCGACGGCGACGGCGGCGGCGGCGGCGACGGCTGCGGCGGCGGCGGAGGGCCTCGTGCAGCGCGGCCGCGTTGGCCCCGAGGTGCGCCACGTGGGCCGCGCCCTCGGGGCTGGCGAGGTCCCCCATCATGGCGGCGGCCGCCAGGCAGGCCGAGGGTGGGCACGCCGCCGAGAAGCAGTAGCCGGCGCCAGCCAGGCGCTGGTGCTCCACGAGGCCCCGGCGGCCCGCGCAGAAGCCGCCCACCCCGGCGACCGCGTGCTCGAGGGAGCCGACGATGGCGTCGACGCGGCCCTCGTCCACGCCGGCGTGCTCGCACAGGCCGCGGCCGTGCCTGCCCAGCGTGCCGAACGAAAGCGTCTCGTCCAGCACGAGCAGCGCGCCGTGCTCCTCCTTGAGCGCGGCCAGGTCCGCCAAGGGCGCCACCCGTCCTGTCCGCGGGCACAGCGCCTCCACCACGACAAAGGTGCGCCTGGGCCTGCCCGCCGCCTCGGACCCCGCGCCCGACGGCGGCAGCGGCTTGGCCAGCGCGGCCCTGATGCCTGCGAGGCTGCCGTGCTCGACCCAGTGCACCTCCGCTCGGCAGAGGCGCAGCCCCGTCCGGATGCCGAGGCTCGCCTCCGAGTCCACGACCACCCTGTCCCCGGGCTGCACGAGCGCCGGCAGCACGCTGGACATCGTCGCGCAGCCGGCCGAGTAAGAGATGGCCGACTCCGTGCGCAGGAACGCTACCAGCGCCCTCTCCAGCTCGATGTGCGGCATGGTCGAGCCGTAGAACCCCCGCGGGCCGCACGAGCCGAAGCCGTAGATCTGCATGGCGGTGCCGATGGCCTGGCGCGCCGACTCGGGCGGCCGCGCGGCCCAGCCCAGGGGGTCGAACAGGCGCGCGTCGAGCGCGGATCCCCGCGGCTCCGCCACCGTGGCGGCCTCCAGCGCCAGCGCGGGGACGCCCTCCAAGGCAGGCGCGGCGGGCGCCACGGGCTCGGGAGCCCACCCGGCGGCGGCCTCCGCGGGCGCCGCACCGTCCCGCAGCTGCAGGGGCGCGCGGCGGAGCCACGAGGCGTAGGCGGCGTCGAGCTCCGCCCGCGCGGCGAGCTCCGCGCGGCCCATCGACTTCTCGAAGAGGACGCCGATGCTCCTGCCGATGTCGGTCACCGTGGCGACGACCCCGGCCAGCTGCTGCCTCGTGTGCGACGCGGAGATGCAGAAGCGGACCCGCTCGTACAGCACCGGCACGGCCGGGTAGCCCACGATGACGACGGCGATCCCCCGCTCGAGGCAGGCGCGGGAGAACCGGGCCATCTTGTGGGGGTGGTGGAGCATCACCGGGACGATGGGCGAGTCGACGTCGCCGAGCACCTTGAAGCCCTCCTCCTCGAGGCGGGACCGGAAGAAGTTGGAATTGTCCCGGATCTGGGCCAGCTTCTGCGCCCCAACGCTACCTTCGAAGAAACATCATAATAACATAAACTGTCGGAGCTCCGCGTAGATCTCCTGGATCTGCGCTGGACCCCCTTCCATGGCGCGCGGAGTGCGCCTGGGGCGGCGCCAGAAGCGCCGCCAGGGGGGCCCATCGCAGATCCAAGAAATCTGCGCGGAGCTCCTGCAGATCTTGGTCATGCAGTTTGTTCTGCTTCGATGCCTCCGATCTCCCCAGTGATAAGCCGCAGCGCCGCAAGGGCCTGTGCGGCGCACGGTGGCGCCATGGCGGAGGCGCAGGCGCTGCCGGGAGCGTTCCGCCGCAGCGCGGAGATGATCTCCTTGGAGGCGGCGACGTAGCCGCCCGCGCTGCCAAAGGACTTCGTGAAGGTCCCCATCATCACGTCGACCTCGTCGGTCGGGACGCCCAACAGCTCCGTGACGCCCCGGCCGGTGGCGCCCACGGCCCCGATCGAGTGGGCCTCGTCCAGGTAGAGGTACGCCCTGTCCGCCACCTGGCCCCTCGCGCGTTGAGGCGTAGTAGAGTGCCAATGGCTGTCTGAAAGGGTTTAAGTCTTCCAAGGGCCTCCGCATGTCGACACACCTGAGTTGCGTGCCTCGCCCCCGCCCCCCCCCCCCACCCCCATCCCTGGGCTTCATGTGCGACCCGACGCCTCCCTGGCGCTCTCAGAGGCACCCTAGATGCCCACGATGGCTTCCAAGGCGACCCAGGCAGGCCACTAGGGCCGCCAAGATGGCCGAATACTGCCTCAAGAGCTTCCCAACAGCTCCCATGAAGACTCCGGTATTCACCAAAGGAGCTCCAAGAAGCCTCCAAGACCCAAGACATCAAAACGAAGGCAAGGGGCACTTCCAGAGATTACGATATCAGCCAGGAGCCAGTGGAAATCTCCATGCGTTCCAATGCTTTGCCTTTCCTGCACCTCTTGGATGAGGATGGTTCCCAGAGGGCCTCGAATAAGCTAAAGAGAAGCGAAAAAGAATCCAATGATGGCCTCCAGAAGCCCCCCGTACGACCCTAGATAGCACCAAGATAGCCCCAAGACGGCCCACGAAGGGCTGAGGACCGCCGAGGGTGGACCAGATGGCCCCAAAAGGTCCCGAGGACAGCGCCACGAGACGCCCCAGACGGCCGAGAGTGACCCAAGACGGCCCAGCGGAAGAACTCAAACGGGACCGTCGAGGGCCCCACAGTAGCCCAAGACAGCCCCAAGACTGCCCAGGCAGCCCCCGCATGAGGGCCCCGACACGAGCTGTCACATGTTAAGGCCGTCGGTGACGCTGAGGGTGCTGCGCTGGAGCGGTAGCGGGACCTGCCGCAAGCAGCCAGATAGCGGTTCTTCAGCGTGACTATCTCGCGCAGCCGGCAGAAGTCCCCCTCCATGGAATAGATGCCCTCCACTACAACAAACACCTTGCGCCAGGGCTTTCCGCCAGGCTGCCCCTCCTCCACGGCCTTCTTCAGCTGAGCCTCTGAGGGGGAACGTCGGGGGGCGCCAGCTAAGGGGGGGGGGGGGGGACATCGACCTGGAATCGGCGATATATCGCCGATTGATCGGCGATAGGCCCCCGATTGCCAACCCCCACATTCCTCGGCTGGGTGGGCTATCGAGCCCCTATCGGCGGTCAATGGGCGATCAGGGGTCGGCGCATCCCCTCGGAGCCCATCCCCTGTCCCACCGTTGCCCCTGAGCCTCCAGGTCGCCCATGTCGTTGTGCGAGAATGCACGGACGGTGGCGCCTGAGAGCCGCACGCCCTCGACGATGGAACGGTGGTTCAGCTTGTCGCTGAGCACGAGGACCCCTGCGCCCCCGGCCCTGGCCTCGAAGAGCGCGGGCAGTATCGTGGAGTTGGTCGCGAAGCCCATCCCGAGGACCATCGCGTCCTCCTTGCTCAAGAAACTCGCGATCTGTTTCTCGAGCTCCAGGTGGACTGGCATGGTCCCGCCCTCTGTGCGAGTCCCCCCCGCCGAGAAGCCGCTCTCCAAGGCAGCGGCCTTGGCTGCGGGAGTGCAGAACTCGTCCACCCCCCCGAAGCCCAGGTAATTGTACGATGCCAGGTTCACGCACTTCGTCGTGTCGCTGGTGCACTGGAAATCGTGGAGGGGCCGGAACCACAAGCCGCCCTTGCGCTCGCGCGTGACGACGTCGACGCACGCGTCAGGGGCAGAGGCGATGGGACGATTGAAGCAATCCGCGATGTTCTTGTACATGTGCTGGAAATAGAACTCGACCCAGCCCGTGTTCCACTTGTCGCGGGCGATGTGCTTCCTCGCCATCTCGCTCCCGCAGAAGGCCCAAATCCTGATGATGTACTCCCGGGCGGCGCCGAGGACGAAGAGCCTGAAGTAGCCCCAATACGCGTGCACCTCCACCTGAGGGCAGGGCGGAGCCGGGCAAACGCAGGCCAGAGAGGAGGGCGAGCCGCTCGGGAGTGCCTCCACTCCCCCTCCTCTTCCTGGCAAGAGGGAGGAAAAAGGGGTCCCGAAGGACGCAGGTCCTGCACCCAGGGGCGCTGCCCAGGACCAACTTTGCAGCAGCCTTCGTGCTCTTTTGTTGCCCACATGGCCCGAAAAGGGCACCGGGAGGCTGAAGAGTCTGAAAACGAAGACGAGAACCTCGTGACCCCCTTGCGTCAGGACCCTGTTCCTTCGCTGCGATGCCTCAAGAGGGAAGAGCCTCGGAACCCGCTTCCCTCACGGCTCCTTTTCTCAGTGCGATCCTCCTTCCGGTCTGCACACTTATCGAACCTTGAGAGGGCGTCGAGTGGGAGCTCGTCGCTGGTCTGGTCCGCTGTCCCCTCCCCCCTGGGCATTTCCCTCGTCTTCCTCCACCCCCTCCAGCTCATCCTCTCACCTCCCTCAGCCGTCATGCCTCCCGCTCCCTCAGCTGTTCTCCCTCCTCCATTATCCCTGCTCCCTTTTCGTTGTGGCGGTGCTGTGCCTCCTCTTCCTCTTCTTTCGCGTCCTCTCTCTCGTCCAGACAGCCCTCTTTAGGCTAGCGGTTTTGTGCCTGATCCTGCTTACCTCCCCCCCCCTCTCCCGTCCATAGCTCGCCCGCGAATGGGTCAACCTAGGACCACGCCCGAAGCGTGCATACACTTCCTCGGCTTCTGGGGATGCATCTGGATTTGATGCCAGCTTCCGTTTGACTGCTAGGCGCGGCGCCCGGAAACGCGGACAAGTTGAGGCGTGTGTGGCTCTCTCCCTCTTCCTTTGCAGTCAGTCCCTGCAATTTAGTTGTATCTGCCGAGTTGCTGTCCTGACCCTCAGGGCTTAGTGGAACGCTACACTGATTGCCATTGAGTAGTGTGTTCATGAGTTAGGCCCAATAGCCAAACATGTGTAGGACATGCTGCCTATTGCGACTTATGGTCCTACTTGCATGTCAAGGCCGAGGACATCGGGTGTGACCAGATTCGTGTGATCAGGAAGGTGTCCAATCATCAATCTCTCGATGGCCTTTATGGTCACGATTCGTTTCTGGCCAAAGGCAACACCCATGCCGACACATTAAGCGAGGTGCGCAGATGCACCCTCCGGATTCACACGCTGAAACGTGGATCCAGCAGGCCGAGCTGCTGATCCGGAGCCTGCTGTGCACCTTGGTAGGGTGATTGCGCATTGTTTGTCTCAGCTCACGCTGCCCCTTGCCCCGAAGAAAGTCCGAGATCCACCGTTTGTTCCACCGATTGCCCTGGCTTTCTCGGCTGAGGGTATCCCTCAGTTTGTAATGCACGTGCACGGCCCTGCCACCGACAGATATGAGTGCGAGTATGGTCGGTTTTCCAAAGAGCCTCCATAGGAGCTGGCAAAACAACCATGCCCTATGCAACGCGGGAAGGGTCACGGCGGGACACTTCGTGTTCTCTCGCTAATGTGGAGCCCACTCGTCGACCAACGCATCCCACCTCACTCCGACACGTCGATATCCAATACTACGGAGCAGAGCACCATGCAACATATGACCTCGCTGGGTCATCCGTTACGTCACCCGTTACGGTGTCCTTTATGGTCGGCCATGCAGAGCACCACTAATGTGTCTACCACGACGGAATCGGGTACCACGCCGTTATCTAGCACAACGAATTCGAGCGCTACCACGCTTTCCACCACGGCGGAGTTGAGCTACTCCGGAGTCGTGAACTACGACGGCGCCCACCACGACGGTCTCGAGCACCATGTCGCTATCCAGGAGCCGAAGATTACCTCGGTGTCTACGACGATGGAGTCGAGCACCACGTCTCTATTCAACACCATGGTGTAGAGCACTACTGCGGGCCGTGGTGGCCAGGCTAGCCTCATCAGCCTCATCGCACAGAACGCGTGCTCCGTTCAAGCTTCGACTTGCAGCCTGACTACCGGAGTAGAGCACGAAACTACATACACAGGTCTGACTCCAAGTTGGGATTACCTTGTCGGGGACCCTACGCTCGCAACAAATACGCATATCCATGACCACCACGACTGGAAGAAACATGTGGCCGATCACCGCTGGTGACAGCATGGTGGCCAGCAGCGTTGTGGAAACCTTTGCCTAGCCCTTGCTGCTGAAAGTGAATCCTGGTCCACCAGCCAGTCCAGCGTCACCTTCCTGCTACAACTCCCGCTCCGATTGCCTTTCCACTGCGGGCTCCCACAGTTACGCTGGTTCCGAAGCTGGCCCCGACGCCCCGACTGCCGTGTGCTCCGGTTCCAGATCCGAACCTTGATCCTGCGGTCGCTCCAACAACGACTCCTACCCACACGCCATCCTCGACAGGCACACCAGCATCGACGCTAGCTTCAACGCCAGCTTCGGCCCAGACTTCGACTGCGGCTGCAACGTCGTCTCCAGCAGGCGCGGCAAGTTCGATAGGCACACGGGTTCCCACGATGGCTCCGACTCCAGCTCTGGCCCCTGTCCCGACCACCGTTCGAACGCCTGCCCTGCCGTAACCTCACCTACAGCTACAAGTACAAGTGCGAGCGCTTCCACGTCAGGAGGGAGAGGATGGAGGAGGGAGGAGGGAGGAGGGAGGGAGGAGGGAGGAGGGAGGAGGGAGGAGGGAGGTGAGAGAAGGGAGAAGGGAGGAGGGAGGAGGGACCTCTCAGGCCAGGGGCCAGGCGTTGAGCTCCAGGGGGAGCCGGCGCTCCGCGCCTCTTCTTCGGCCTCGATCCTCCCTCCTCACAGGTGTGCACGCCCAGCTGTTCCCGACCCGAAGTACGTGGTAGGACTCGGGACGGTCTCGCTGTGCACACCCTACCAGAATTTTTTGTGTTGCGTCTGGATGTTCGCTTTCTTGCTCGTGTGGGGCCCTTGTGCGGAGAGCCAGGGGAATATACCTCGCTGGTTTGCGCACGCGCGAGCCTTGCGCACGCGCTCTCTTCCTCCTCCTGGACTTTTTGTCTCACGTGATTCGGTCAGCGAGTGGCCGCTTTGTTGCAGTGTGTGGCAGTCGGCGAGGGCGGATGCATGCTGTTTATGCCTCCTCCTCCTCCTGCTCCTCCTCCTCCTACTCCTCCCCGTGTCTCTGTTTTGGCTTTGACGGAACAGTGCTCACGTTAACCTTTAGTCTTATGGTTTTCCGCGAGGGAGCAGGGTGTGTCCGTTCCCGCATCGAGGCGCGATGATGGTTCGAGTTTTCATAATGGATAAGAATTCCACCCCTTCCTTTCAACACGAAGTCCCCAGAACTCCCGACCGTTTGCCCAGGGCATGTTTTTCATCCCGAATCGGTTTGGCACTGTCCTGGAACCCGAAAACTGCTCCTGGATGCCGAAAACTGGCACAACCTAAATGGTTTCAAGACGTTGGATGGAAGGGGGGTGATCCCAGTCCGTGTCGCCCCCTGGCGAGCGAGGAACCATCATTCTGCCAAACACGGCTGACCGCGTCGCTCACGATGCATCCAGTCAATAACCCAGCCGTTCCAAGCAACGTCGCTTCATACTTCCCCTCGGTCCTACGTCTCCAAAGTGACTGCCTGCCTAGCTTGCCTAACGACCTATCTCCTCCCCCCTCCCGCGTCCATCCGGCCACCATGAAGCTCATGTGGATCCGCTCTGGCCGGACAGGGGCGCCGGATGAGGGTGCCGCGGGCTCTGGCTTGCCGCCCTTGCGAGGGCACGACCTCGGCCACGAGCGGGATGAGGAGGAGGAGGAGGAGGAGGAGGAGGAGGAGGAGGAGGAGGAGGATGAGGAGGAGGAGGAGGAGGAGGAGGAGGAGAGGGAGGAGGAGGAGGAGGAGGAGGAGGAGGAGGAGGAGGAGGAGGAGGAGGAGGAGGAGGAGGAGGAGGAGAGGAGGAGGAGGAGGCGGCGGAGGAGGAGAGGGAGGAGGGGTGGGAGGAGGGGGAGGAGGAAGAGGAGGAGGAGGAGCAGGAGGAGGAGGAGGAGGAGGAGAGGAGAGAGAGGAGGACGAGAAAAAAAGAGGACCAGGAGGAGGAGCAGGAGGAAGCAGGAGGAGGAGGACCAGGAGGAAGCAGGAGGAGGCGGAGGAAGCGATGGCGGGGGGAGGGACGAGGACCTTAGAAGGTGCGCGACCCCAGCCGCGATGCCGGACACAATGGCCCCGACGGCAGCGGCAACGCCGCCGACGCCCAGCGCCCCGCCATCTGGGCTAAGGAGCCGCCACAGCGGCTCCAGGACACCGAGGCCGGCGCCGGTGCCGAGGTAGTCCGCGAAAAGCGCGTCGGCGTGCCCAGCGGCGTCCTCGAGGAAAGGTCGCGGCGGGCGGCTCTTCCAGGCCCTGGGCCTCGACGAGGCCGAGGCTAGGAGGAGGGACCCTGAGGTCCGAGCGTTGCAATTTTTGCACTCCAGGTGTTCTAGTCCGCTTTGGGGCCCTGGGGCCATCACAAATCGATCTGGCTAGAAATATGCATGAGAAAGATGGGGTCCAGGGATCCGGTCGCTTTTAGATCGACACGTTCGCGGTTTTGTACTCTAGGAGCAGACCTCCCGACCCGCCCACCTTGCATACCGCGGCCGCCATATTCCCAATTCAACGGGTGGTCCCCGATGATCCCGCGCCCCTCGCCTTCATACCGCGGCCACCAGATCCCCAAGTCCACTGGTGGTCCCCGATGATCCCGCCCCCCGCGCCTTCGACCAACATAATAGAGCAGAGCAGAACATAACAGAGCATTGCATAACACAGCATGGCATAAGACAGCATGGCAGTCCAGAGCATGTCATCACATACCAACACATGACAGGACAGAACATGCCATACCATAGTATAACATACAACTACATCATACCGTACCACCCTAAAGACTGTTACTTCGAATGTAGCGAATAAAAGTGTATCATATGACAGTGGCATGCGACGTTAGAGGCAATACCACACTACAACATCACATATCATACTGTGACGCAGTGCGGTGACATCGTCTCTGCAAACAGAAAGCTACATGTTATCATCTATCAACTTAAATAATTGGAACTGGAATTGCTGTAACATATCAGACGGTAGCCTAATACAGTATGCAGCACGCCAACTAGAATAAGTATGCTATACCAAGATACAGCGTGATGACATCTATTATTTCACCAAGTTACAGAATGTGGATCACCAGAAACATCAGCACATCATACCATCACACAACAAGACATCTGCAGTATCCCTGCAATAGTGGTTCCTTACCACGACTACCTTTGGTACGACCTTTTGTTGCAAGGATCCGCTAATCAACGATACCTTCCAACCAATAAGCGTTCGCTAGATGGGATGTTATCTGTTTATCATGGGGTCCTTGATGTGGGCTCCTTTAGTTTGGACACCTGGATTCGTTTGGTGAGGGATCCCGAGTGATACCGCATGTGGTAAGCATCCCTTAACTTGACGCATGCTTCCTCTGACAGGGACTGCTTAGTGCGGTTGCTTGTCGGTAAGGGTGCCAGCAGTATCTCTGCGGCACTGACTCCTTACCAAGACTACCTTTAGCACAACCGTTGCGCCAGGAATATGCTATCACAATGCCTTCGGCATCGTGAGCATTCGTTTGAAGAGATGCCTGTTATCAAAGGGTCCTTGGCAAATGCCCCTTTGTTTGGGAACTCGTATGGTGGAGACACTGTGGTGCCCCAAGCTCTGCTAAGCCGTGCTAAGCCCCAGTCATGCCTGGTAAGCCCCTGAGCTTGGCAAATTTGTGTCACGTTCTGCTCAGCCCTGGTGAGCTCTGTCAAGTCTTGCTCAATAGGCATTGGTAAGCCCTGCTAAGGCCTGGGGAAACCCACGACACCCTGCTAAGCCTTGTTCAGCCGTGGCAAGCTTTGTTAAGCTCTGCTATGCCTGTAGTTTCTGAGCCGTGCTCAGCAGTGACAAGCTTCGCTCAGCCCTGCTAGCCCTTGCGAAGCCTGAAGTCCTTCCGAGAAGTGCTGAGCCCTGCTGAGCCCTGCTGAGCCCTGCTGAGCCCTGCTATACCCTACTCGGCCCTGCCAGCTACTGCTAAGCCCACCACCACAACCGGCACTACCACCCCAACAACAAAAATAAATGTCCGCTGCGTTACTCGCTGGGAGGCGGAGAACCACCCCGCACAACAAAAAATAGCATCTGGATATCATAAGCGTTGTTTCTGGGGGAAGAGGAACACTCCCACACACACATACACATTCACATACACACACGAACCGAAGACAGAGAGAATATGAAAGTAAAGAAGAATGAGGAAAGGGTCCAACAGACCGCGTACTCCACAGTAACCTGTCCTCCCAACTTCCGGGGCGCCATCAGCTGGTGCAGCAAGTCCCGCGGGCGGACCGCTGTCGTTCGGTAGACGGGAAGGTTGCGAAGTTGCTCAGGTCATCGGCAAACTGCTGAGCTGAGCGAGCGCACCTCCATGGATCACCAGAGCCTGCCAGAGGGTCGGAACCAGGAGCGGCGGCGGCATGAGGTGGATGCGCAGCTGCACGGTGAGCGTGAGCCTTGCCCAGGTCCGCGGCTGAGGCTGGTGCTCCTGCCGATGCCGGGCGAGCGGAGGAGCAAACGAGGCGCACTGAAGGCCGTCCAGAAGCGCGGCCTCCGTCGTGGTGGCTGCCAGCGGGAACTTGGCTGCTGAAGCCCGTGTTACCCCTGGCGGCAACCGTGTCTCTGGGGGCGGCGCGCTGACGGTCTTGCGGATGGTCGTCACGAAGTTCTTGTTCGCGTAAGCGACGGCGTGCACGGATGGTGGAGAGTTGGTTGCGCGAGGTAGAGCGGCCGTCGCCGCTGGATGAATTTGTGGGCGTGATAAAAAATAACGACTAGGCGCCACACTCCTGGGGAAATTCTGGTACAGCGCGTGGTGTCAGCGGATATGGAAGGCTCGGAACGCGGCTCGACGAGCAGATACGGAGGGCCACCTGCAGGGCCAGTACGAGAAGCAGGAAACACTGGGGTGGGCGGCCGCAAACCCCTGATTGGCGGCGGTGAGTCCGAGAACACTAAAGGGAGTCTACTCCGTCAAGGCAGTGGCATGAGGACACTTTGGTTTGAACCAGAATGGCGACGGAGGAGGAGGAGGAGGAGGAGGATTTTTGACATCCACTGCCTCAGACCCCAACTAAATGGGGCAAATAGTTTCGCAGTCAGCTCTGGCCCCTTTCCTCTTGTGGTCAGGATGGAGCCCCTTGCTGAGCCGCGAAAAGACCTCGCTGCGGACAGGAGGGTGGCCGACGCATGTCTTAGACAGGCGTCGCAACTGCCCCCCCGTGCTGAAAGCGTGACAGGCGCGACATACACAGGCAAAACTGTGGTCGTCAAAGTCAACGACTATGCAGCTGTGACCGAAAGCACGCAATTCGACAGGGTCGATGCGGAGCTGGCGTGTGCACGCTCCAGGAGCGGGCTTCACCTGCTTGCGCGAACAGCGCAGGCAGTTCGGACATTGCCAAAATCGGCCTACCCAGGCCCACTCATGTGGAGGGCAAGCGGGCTTGGGTATTCTCGGCGGAGCTTCCACACGAGGCACACCTTCGAGGTTGGTCTTAGGCCAGCGCTCGAGCAATTTGGCAGCTAATTTGAAGACGGCCTTTGCCGCGCGGATCGCGTGATCGAGATTCTCGCGATCGTCAAGATTCAAATTAACATGCAACCGCGCACCTGCTTTAGCCGCCATGTCGGCCGCTTTATTCCCAACAATGCGCCGACGCTCCAGGTCCGAAAGATCAGGGTCATCCGCCCTGTGGGCCTTGACCTTCTGGACCGAGCGCAGCTTGCTATTAGCGTACGCATAGCTCTGCATAACCAACCCACTGTAGGGCCGATTGGCTGAAATGCAGTTGACAAAAGACTTGCTGCATTCTCCCACGACAGCGGCACAGTCACTGAAAATGTCCGAGGCACTGGCAAGGAGACTGGCGGCACTCGTTGGCGCCGCGAACTCCGCAGCGAGAGGCGTCTGGGGAAAGAAGCTGCCCAGCGCACCGTGCATCTGAGCAAGGATCTTACCCGAAGGACCAAGACTCACAACTCCCCACCCCGAGCGGGAAAGATCCTTGATCGATGACCGCAAACAAGAGCCGTCCGTGTAAATGTCCCCTCCAAGAGCCCTCTCCCCCTCGGAAGGAACTGGCAACCCCTCGGCCTGGTACGCTTCGGGGAAGACCTGAAACACGACGCTGTCCAGGGCTTGTCCCTGAGACAGGGGGCCAGGGGCCCACAAGGACGGGTGCGGGAAAAGGCCCGTCTCGCAGGCCAACTTAAAGCTCGGACTGGGGTCAGCCGCGAGCTCCGCACGGATCTTGGCGAGGAGACGCTCGCCAACGATCTCCACTCGATCTTCCTCGCATTCAGGGCAAAACCAAAGCCTGTGCAGGATAGTGTCTCCAACCTGGCCACACAGAAAGCACTCGTCATCTACACAGTAGCCGAGGGCGGCAGCACGCCTAAGCGGCCATACAGCCTGACAAACGAGGGCTTTGATGGCGCCTTTTTCTTTACGGGAGAACTTGGATGACGCCAGGGCCGCGTCAGCCAAATCGAAACACAGGCGGGTCCCACCAAGGTACCTGTTTCCAGCCTCAAACTCTAAATCCCGTAAAACCGCGCTCTTTAAAAATCTCTTCAAAAGGGCAGGGGAGGTAAGCAGGAGGGGACTCTGCACTCCTCTGTCGTCCATCATCGTGAAAGGGTCCGTCATGTCCCAGCCGAGCCTTTTCAGGGAGAGGTACATGGCCCCGACAGGGCCCTTGCAGGATCTCCAGGTACGCGGGGGTCGGGCCCAGACAGCGGACCATGCTTCACGAATTTCGCGCCAACTGAGCGACCAGGGAGCCTTCGTCTGCAGCAACCACAACTCCTTGCAATACCGAATGATAGGTGCTACAGATCCGTACCAGGCTGGGTCTTTCTCGAGGCGGGTAAGGATCGTGAGCGAGCGACCCCCGCAATTAGGCTTCATGGTGGAAGCCGCCAACTTACGGATCTTGAGCACTTCTCCTTCGGACATGCCGTGGACCTCAGCACCGCACTGAGCGCCTGCCAGCGGCCCTGGGACAAACACCGTGGTAGCGCGAGAGCCCAGCGTTCCACGCTGGCGGACTAAGCGGCGAGTCCTACGCAGCGCTGCATTCATCCTGGTCTTCGCCTTAGCATTGCGCCCCCTAACCCTCCTGGAAGTCCCTGGAGTGAAGCCGATGCCAAGGTTAACCGTGGATTCCCTGTGGGGCCCAACTAGATCCCCAAAGACTTGGGAAAGCCTGTGCGAAACGAACTTAGAAGACGAGACCATGGCAGTCTTGTCCAAAGAAATCTGGGCACGCATCATAACCGTGATGGCGTGCTGAAGGGTGGAAGCCCCGTCCTGCAGGCGGGTGACAATCTGTTCGGCCGTGCCAACAGCGTTGGGCCCAGAATCGTCGATGTAAACGTCCAGGGTAGTGTTCGGACCCAGGACCACAGAGTCGAAAAAATCAAGCCCAAACACCCTGATCATAGTCGTAGCGATCGAGCAGCCCGCAATCACGCCGTGATCTCCATACACTGGGGGAGCCACGGCCCCACACAAAACCATGAAACGAGCCGATCGGTATCCAGCCAGACAGACCGCCATCAGGACAGGAGGAAAATTAAGCCTCTGGCCGCGCGACTCCAGCAAGGCCAGTGGAATCTGCTCGTAGTATTTCAACATATCGTAAAAAATAGCTCCAACGTGCTGGCCTGACGACGTGCTGCGTTCAGCCGAGACCGACTGGCGCCACACCACGTCCGAAGCCGACCTATGCTTCCCAGCAGCCCAGTAGGGCCTATCATTGGCTTCCTCCCAGGCCACGGCATAGGGCCTCCGAATGCGGCCCCAGATGCGAAAAGGGCTCGAAAAACCCCAATGGGGCGGAACCCAGGGACCGACTTCGGGATCATGGCCATGATCAAGGCCCGCAGTTGTCTGGGAAGCATACCAGCCGACTCGATGACCACGAACAGCTTCCCTAGGCACTCCAGGGACTCGTCGGAGAGGAACTGATAGTGCCGAAGGTAAAAGCCGTCCAAGCCGACAGCAGAGCGCCTCGAGTAAGAACGCGAGGCAATGCGAAACTCGTCCACTGTGATCTGCGGCAGAGGCACGAGTTTGCAGCACCGAAACCGTGGAGGAGCATCTACAGCCCGCCACAGCTTACCAAATCTGCCACTCTCGTGCTTCAAGAGGGCCTGAGGGTCGCTAACCAGAGCTCCAAACCGACTCAAGGTGGAGGTGGGCCTCCAGGCCGCAGGGTCCTTGGAAACCTGGTGGGCCCGACGAGCTCCCTGGTTGACCCCGTCCAGGAGCCAGGAAGCCCAATCAGACCTGGCGATTTTCACAAACTCCTCGGAACAAAGCTTGTTGGCCTCTTGTAGCTGAGAATGCACCAAGTCCAGGCTGGCCTTGCACTCGTCGGGTTCCACGCCCCACAGGCAGGCCACAGAGGATGCAGCAGAGAACGCAGCAGCGTAGCTACCTTGGTGATCCGCCACGAAAGCAGGGGGCGACGCCAGGGCAGCCTGCACCTTAGCAAAATCCGAGGGATGCTTGTCGGGGCCCAACAGCACCAACCGATAAAATGTTAAGGAGTTGGACCACAGCCATCTCATGCTGTGGAGCACAGGGTAACGGACCGAGCCGTGGTCGCGACCCAGGACGGGCCTCCACCACATCTCAACTCCTTTGCCCCGCGCCCCAAAGTAAGGGATGGACGTGCCCATCACATTGCACAGTTCTCGCTCGGCCGTGTTGGCCCATTGCTTATAGGCAGCAGCGAGAAGGGAGTCCAGCACATCCACATCCCCCCTCTGGGCCCTAACCAGGGCCTTGTCCAAAAGGGCCGAGCATTTGCCGTAACACGGGGGCTCGGGCGACGGACCGATCGGGGCATCCAGAGCGATCGGGGGGGGCTTGCGGAACGAGAGGACGTGAAGATTGGCAATTCCGACATGGATTTGGATCCGAACGGGCAGGTGGGGGTGGAACGTGCTCCCATCAAAATTCTTAGAAACTGAGCTGACGGCCTTCGCGAGACCGCCCGACAGAACGAAGAAGTCGAAGCACTTGGGAACGCCAGTGCCGTAACACGTGGGCCCGTCCGCAGCCACCAGCTGGCCCTTAAGATTGTGAACGAACTCGCTCTCGTGGAGCGTGGGCGGCTCGAGATTGAAGTCGCCGCCCATCAAGAAGGGCATCCCGGAAGTCGAAAAATGAGCACCAAGGGCCCCCAGGATGTCGAGGTTCGCTTCACTGAGCCCTTCCGAATCCCGAAGGTAGAGAGAGGAGATGAGGATGGCCTGGCCCTCTGGGGGGTGGACAACTCCAACCACGGCCCTGTGGGGCCAGAGCTCAGCAGAGCCCAAGCTGTGTAAGCCTAGCCAGCTACGGGCCAGGATGGCGACACCACAGGAGGGGCCTCCCCCCTCTCCAAGGGCCCCTGGGACCCAGAGGGATTTCCAGCCGTGCCTGAAACAGAAAGCAGACGCCACTTCAATAGCATCCCCAGCCTGGAGCTTGTGCTCCTGGACAAGGAGAACATGGGCAGAACACCTGGGGAGCCAGTCTCTCACCGACGACCAAGCGTTGCCGTTAACAGTTTCCACGGCCAGGGAAAATTCTTCCGAGGGGGGGGCATCGGGGACGGTAGGGCAGCCACGAGCGTCAGCTCCCAGAATCCAAGCATCTCGCCGTGCAACCAGGGGAGCACGATGCGTCCCCTGAATTAACATCGTGTCACCGCTCGCATGAACTGGCAAAATTACACGAGCAAGATTCTTCACGGACGGATTGGAGCAACCGTGCTTCGGGGCCGCCGAGACCGACGGCACCGAACCACACCGAGGATTACGTGAGCTGGGGCCAAAGAGTGGGGAGCCAGGCGTGCTGCAAAGCTTGACCCTCTCAAGAATGGCCGAACAAATCTCCGATTCGATGCCCCCCGCTTCACATCGAGACGTCAAGCGGGGGGCCGCCCTTGCCAGACGCCTTGTTGGCTGCCAGAGCGCGCGCAGCCTCACGCATCTTGGCCAGGTCAGGCGGAGGAGCAGCCGAAGATCCACTGGCCGCCTGCCCAGTGCCTGCAGAAGATCCCGTAGTCGGAGTCGATGGAGCCGACGTCGGGGCTGGCTGGGCTGTTGGTTCAGCCTGGGCCGCCTGTCCAGGAGCAGGAGCGCCGTCAGCGGGTTGCCCTTGCCCATCAGCTTCAGCAGCCTGAGATCCACCATCGCCACGACGACGTTTGGCCTTGAGGCGCTGGGTCTGCTCCACATGCGCCGCCTTGGCAGCCTGCACGGACTCCATAGCCTTGGCGAACAGGTCCTTGGCCATGGTGTTGAAGCCGCTGACCAGCTGCTCCTTGCGCCTGTTGACCTCCGCAATGTCCGACTCCTCGAGCGTGCCGACCTCGGGGTCGATGTCCAGCAAGTCACCGACGTCCAGCTCGAAAGCGTCGATCTTCCCCGCCAAGAGCTCGGAGAGCGACACGACTGGTTTGCAGGCGTCGGGGTGCTGCTTGCGCAGCGAGTGTACCTTCTCAGTGAGCTCGTCGTGCTTAGTGTCCAAGCCGTCCATCTCCTTGTTGATCTGAACGATAAGGGACTCCTGAGCGGCGACCTTAAGGCGAAGCTCCCCGAGATTGCCGAACTCCCAAGACAACTTCTTCCCCAGTTTGAGCCGCTCGCGTTGGCATCGAGCGAGCTGTTCTTCGCATGACTCCTCAGCCTTGGGAGGCTTCTTGAGCGCAGCCAGCTGAACTTGGTAGCGGTTGGCCTCCGTCGTGTTGCCAACCTTACGGAAAAGCTCGACAAAGGTCTCCAACTCTTGAACCGAAAGCTGGGTGACGTTGGGAAGAGGGCCAGGACGAACCACTCCTCCTTGAGGACCTGGCACCAGGGCGGGGGAGTAGAAGTAGCCAGGTGGAGTCCACACAGCGCCTCCGTGCCCCTTGCCCTTGCCCTTGGAAGGCTTGCCTCCGCCCTTGTGTGCGCCCTTGCCGTTGCCCCCACCCAGGAAGCCTTGATACTGCAGCCCTGGCGAGAGAGCGGGAAGCAGACCACCAGCAGCAGAGTTCTGAGCCCAAACCCCAGCAGGAGGAGAGGGCTCGACAACCTTCGGGGCGTTCCAGGCCGAGCCGCAGTGCTTGCAGACATGGCTCGCCATCTTGTTCTTTGCGCAGCCGCAAGAGCTGCACCTCCATGTATTGCTCCGCTGGAACGGAGGGCCTTGGCGCCAAGGAGAGTCAGCGAAAGCATCTCCTGCGGGCCCTAGGCTCATCCGCGGCCGAGCGGTGGAGGGGATTAGGCCCCTCGGCCTGAGTGAAAGCTGAGGATCGATTGCCGTGAAGCCAGATGGCCCGCAACAGCAATGCCGTTCTGAAATACGCGGTTGCAAGACCAGGCAAAACACCTGGGCCAGAACGGCTAGGAGGAGGAGGAGGAGGAGGAGGAGGAGGAGGAGGAGGAGGAGGAGGAGGAGGAAGAGGCATCACTATGGGGTGGCATTTTTTGTGGCTCCCGCAGCGCCGCCCCCGTGCTGCTTCTGCGGGCCCTCCGCCGAAAACGACAGGCCAATCTCTCGACCCATCGAGACAGTGAGGCCCTCTCTCTCTCGGGTACGCGCCCAGAGAGGACAGCAGTTCGGGCGGGCCTTCTCCGAAGGCCCTTCTGGGCAGCTTCTGTCGCCATGTCCGAAGACACAGGAGGCTCCTCAGAAGGCCAGAGGGCTTCTGAGAAGCCCCGCCGCCTCCTGAGAAGGCTTGCCCCCTCTCACCTCCCCCCTCGGCGCGCCGCCGAGTTTGGTTTTCGGGTCATAACTCGGTTCTCTGGCGGCCGTTCGGGACCATCCGGGCGCCCCCTGACCGCTTGCGGCGAGGCGCAGCTGCTGGACCGTATCCCGAGGCTGACAAGCCTCCAGGGAACCGACGAAAACGTCAGAGAACGCCCGACTCTCTAGAACGCTCCACAGCTGGCGCGCCCCCCGCATCCTCCAGGTGCGCGGTGGGGCCTCCGCCGGCGCCAGCCGCATGCTTGCCGTCCTCCAGCGTCGCCATCAGGATCCCGAGCACGCCAGCGCCAAGGGCGCACAGCCAGAAGAGGCCGTGGTCCACGGCGGGCGCCGCCGCGCCTGCGGAGGGCATCTCTCCTGGGAGAGGCGGGAGGCGGCCGCTCAGGCACGGCGGCGCGCCCGTGGTTGAAGGCAGACGGGGGCTCGAGGCAGGCCGGGCGCCTTCGGAGAAGCCCCGCCACGTTCCGAGGCGGCCAGGCCCTCCTCGACGCCTGGCGGCCCGTGGGCCATTGAGCGAGGCCCTCCGGCGGCCATTCGGGACGACCAGGGCACCGCGGGAGCGCTCTCGGAGAGGCGCGGCTGCCGAATGCATCCCGAGGCTGGAAGACCGCTGAGAGCCGACGAGAACGCCCCAGCACCCCTCGAGCCTCGGGCCCCCTCTGCCCTCCCCCCATGGGCGCGCCGCGAACGGAAGGGCTGCCCTCACGGATCTCCGTGCGCCGCTGGCTGGGCGCGTGCAGCCGCCTGAGCCGAAGCGGTCGCGGACGGGGAGGGCGGCAGCAGGAGCGCCCACAAGACAGAGGGCGATCACGACGTGGCAGAGCGACGACGCATCAGAGTGGGATCCTGTGGAGGTCTCCTTCGCTGGGCTGCGGCAGGTTCCCGCCTCTCCAGCGCGAGCCCTGGCTCCCCGACACCGCGCGAGCCGTTCTCAGCTTTGCAAGATCCTTGATGTCGTATACCTCGGAGGACCCCAGCGGTTCTCGACCGCATCTGTCGTGCAATATTGATTCCGCGCCTTAGATCGTGTTCGGGTGCGCTAGCTTGCATTACGGATACGTGGATCTGGCGCGTAGGCGACAGATCCACAGATCGTAAAGGCACTCGCCGAAACATGAAGCCAGTGCCGCCTGATTTGGCGACAGGGCGGGCCGATTCTGCATGAAAGCGGGGCTCGTCGCTAGTCTGCCCGCCTGGATCCATGCTCGTGCTTCCTCGGCGTAGTCTCTGGGCCCCAGGGTCCAGAACGAGCTCCCGGAGGGTGCTCAACTTCGAACGCCCGCGCAGGCGTCGTCGCCGCGCCGAGGCTGCGCGAACCTGCCAGGGGGCACGTTCAGTCAACATCGGCCCCTGGCCTTCTGGACACCATCCTGGCGATCTTTCTGAGCCGAGTCCAGCCGTGGTCACGAAAGCCCCCCCTGAAGTACGAGCACGGCGCCCACGCACCGTACCATGCCTGCACCCCCATTCGGGCCCCGCTCCAGCGCGGTACGGTGCAGAGTTGCTCGGCCCCCGAAGGGCGAAAAACTGTGCACCGCACCATTCCTGGGCCAAAGGCTGGCGACGTCATCCAGCGCGGCACGGTGCACACAGACTGTCCGCGGACGACGCCCGGAGAAGGCTCCAACCTGTTCCTTGAAGCGTCGCCGCCGCATCCAAGCGGCGCAGCCCTGCCGGACCTGTCGATCGATTCCTGCAGGACTTCTCCCGGGCACCATCCCGACGAGCTTGCTAAGCCGAGTCCAGCCGCCGCCACGGGCTCCTCCACCCCGAAGCCCGCAGAAAGTCAAAACCTCAATGCTGCAGCGTCGCCACCGCGTCGGAAGGGCCCCCTGAGCGGAGCCTTTGACCAACCAGGATATCGGCGCGCCCGAAAAATTGCAGTCGTGGGTTGAAGCATGCTCTTTTTTTCAGTCTTTCCAGGTGGAATTTCCAGTCGTGGGCCGTGGGTCGAAATGCTATCCATTCTTCGGTCCCCCCAAATTGAATGTTCAAAACTCTTGGTTGGCCACGGCATGGGCCTGCCGAGAGCGCACACAAAACACGTCATCTGCCCTCTCCGGGCACAGCTCCTCGGAGCGCAGCACGGCGTCGTCTTCAGCGCCCTCGACCTCCTGGTAGGGCGCGCGCGACCAGGCAAGACTCAGCGAGAACAGGCCTTCGGCGACGGGTTGGTTCTTGCAGCCGATTCCGGAAGCCCTGAACCCACACATGTTGTCGTGCCACTTTTGCTTCCGCCGCATTCTGCCGAACTTCCGCCGGCGGACCCGCCGCTGCTTTTCTACCGCCAGGTTCCGCCCGGCTTCCGCCGAGAGCGAGGACGCGCCCGAAGACACGGTCTTTTCTCAAGTGCCCCACTTCGCGGCCAGGGGCCGTTTTCCGGTTCTGAGGCGCGTAGGAAACGAGCCGTAGCGAGCAGCCAATGCAGAAGATGGAGTCGAGAGCTCCAGGGCCCACGCGCTGGGAGAATCAAAATCCGATGGCTGGAAAAACCGAGGGGGCTGCGAGGGGACGGCAGCCTCCTCCTCCTTTTCCTCCTCATTATCCTTCTTGACTTTGGCAACAACGCCCATGCCTCAAACAGTGCATGCGCCAACTCGGGGCGCAAATGTTCTCGTGCATACATGTGCACCAGCGGCGCAAAAGACGCGACCCTAGAATGCCTGGAGGTTGGGGGAGAGCGGGGGGAGCGTTACTCGTTGGGAAGGCTCGCGCCCGCGGCGCGGGCGAGCGACGCAATCGTCGCCCGCCGCGCCCCGCGGGAGCTCGCGGGCGCAGCGGCGCCCCAGCGACCGCAGGGGCGCAAAAGGGCGAGGGCAAAAAAAACAGCCGCCACAACGGGGCGGCGGTGCGCTTGCCCCGTTTGGCGCGCCGACCCCGCGGTTGCGCCGGCGCGCGCCGAAGCGCCGAGCGCCGTGCGCGGGGGCATCTGCCCCCCCCCCTTGCCGCAGGGAGAAAAAGGCAATGAGGACGAACGAGACGCAGACCCCGAAGTACAGGAAGACCTGAGGCCCCACCCCCCGAACGCACCCCCCGCCCCGACCTGGCCCCCCCTCGCCGCGGGCACCGCGGCGAACTGCGGCGCCCCCGGCGGGGCGGGAAGGGGGAATGGTTTGTGGGTCCGCGTTTTTGTGGCAGCGAACAAAACTACATAGCGTTCTCGCCCAAAGAAGACCCAACCCTAGAAAACCCGGCGGTTGGGGGAGAGCGCGGGGAGTGCCACCCGCTGGGTAGGCTCGCGCCCGCGGCGCGGGCGAGCGACTCGCGCGTCGCCCGCCGCGCCCTGCGGGAGCTCGCGGGCGCGGCGACGCCACTGGCCCTAGCTGTGCCGGCGCGCGAGGAGAACCCAACGCCAAAATTACTCGCCGAAAGCGCAAGTCTGTTTCACAATGCTAGAAGTCCTCGCCGTCGTCGTCGTCGTCGTCACTGGACGACGCGCGGCCGCGCACTTCCCTGGCGGCGTCGTGCCCCTTTCAGCATGGGACAGGTCCCGGGCTCGGACGATGTCAGCCACCGCGAGACACGCGCCGCCATGTCCTGCGCGCGCGCGGCTCGGCCCGGTTGACGCCAGGGCCCAGCATCTGCCCGCCAAGATAGCGCCAGATTCAGCGGTGCGCGAGCGGCGCCTTGTCGGGAAGTCTGCTGTGCGAAAAAAGGCCACAATGTCGCTCGCGCGAGCTTCTCGAGACAACGTTGACCCCCGTGCTGAGAGCGCCGGCCAACGCGCTGGCTTGGCCGGCGACTGACATCCCGCTGCCGATCGTCTGCCCTACCAATAACAGCCTCTTGGGCGCGGAAAACACAATTGGTCCCAGCGAGAGAAATGAAGCATGCAGGCCTAAAATATCACGCGCGTCGCCACGCTCCAACTTGGCGTCGGAAGCCGCTCGCGGGCCCAGTGGCAGGCGCACTAATCTGGCCGGCGATGCCGCGGCATGCTCCGTCGTTGCGGATGCGCACGGATCGCAGAAATCGCCCGCGTATCTGAGGGCGGGCATCTGCCCGCCAAGATAGCGCCAGATTCAGCGGTGCGCGAGCGGCGCCTTGTCGGGAAGTCTGCTGCGCGAAAAAAGGCCACAACGTCGCTCGCGCGCGCTTCTCGAGACAACATTGCCCCCCCTGCTGAGAGCGCCGGCCAACGCGCTGGCTTGGCCGGCGACTGACATCCCGCTGCCGATCGTCTGCCCTACCAATAACAGCCTCTTGGGCGCGGAAAACACAATTGGTCCCAGCGAGAGAAATGAAGCATGCAGGCCTAAAATATCACGCGCGTCGCCACGCTCCAACTTGGCGTCGGAAGCCGCTCGCGGGCCCAGTGGCAGGCGCACTAATCTGGCCCGCGATGCCGCGGCATGCTCCGTCTTTGCGGATGCGCGCGGATCGCAGAAATCGCCCGCGTATCTGAGGGCGGGCATCTGCCCGCCAAGATAGCGCCAGATTCAGCGGTGCGCGAGCGGCGCCTTGTCGGGAAGCCTGCTGCGCGAAAAAAAAGCCACAACGTCGCTCGCGCGAGCTTCTCGAGACAACGTTGCCCCCCCTGCTGAGAGCGCCGGCCAACGCGCTGGCTTGGCCGGCGACTGACATCCCGCTGCCGATCGTCTGCCACACCAATAACAGCCTCTTGGGTACGGAAAACAAATTGGTCCCAGCGAGAGAAATGAAGCATGCAGGCCTGAAATATCACGCGCGTCGCCACCCACGCTCCAACTTGGCGTCGGAAACCGCTCGCGGGCCCAGTGGCAGGCGCACTAATCTGGCCGGCGATGCCGCGGCATGCTCCTTCATTGCGCATGCGCACGGATCGCAGAAATCGCCCGCGTATCTGAGGGCGGGCATCTGCCCGCCAAGATAGCGCCAGATTCAGCGGTGCGCGAGCGGCGCCTTGTCAGGAAGTCTGCTGCGCGAAAAAAAAAGCCACAACGTCGCTCGCGCGAGCTTCTCGAGACAACGTTGCCCCCCCCTGCTGAGAGCGCCGGCCAACGCGCTGGCTTGGCCGGCGACTGACATCCCGCTGCCGATCGTCTGCCCTACCAATAACAGCCTCTCAGGCGCGGAAAACACCTTGGTCCCAGCGAGAGAAATGAAGCATGCAGGCCTAAAGTATCACGCGCGTCGCCACGCTCCGACTTGGCGTCGGAAGCCGCTCGCGGGCCCAGTGGCATGCAGGCGCACTAATCTGGCCCGCGATGCCGCGGCATGCTCCTTCGTTGCGCATGCGCACGGATCGCAGAAATCGCCCGCGTATCTGAGGGCGGGCATCTGCCCGCCAAGATAGCGCCAGATTCAGCGGTGCGCGAGCGGCGCCTTGTCGGGAAGTCTGCTGCGCGAAAAAAAAAGCCACAACGTCGCTCGCGCGAGCTTCTCGAGACAACGTTGCCCCCCCTGCTGAGAGCGCCGGCCAACGCGCTGGCTTGGCCGGCGACTGACATCCCGCTGCCGATCGTCTGCCATGCCAATAACAGCCTCTTGGGCGCGGAAAACAAATTGGTCCCAGCGAGAGAAATGAAGCATGCAGGCCTAAAATATCACGCGCGTCGCCACGCTCCAACTTGGCGTCGGGAGCCGCTCGCGGGCCCAGTGGCAGGCGCACTAATCTGGCCGGCGATGCCGCGGCATGCTCCTTCGTTGCGCATGCGCGCGGATCGCAGAAATCGCCCGCGTATCTGAGGGCGGGCATCTGCCCGCCAAGATAGCGCCAGATTCAGCGGTGCGCGAGCGGCGCCTCGTCGGGAAGTCTGCTGCGCGAAAAAA